TTTCTGCAACACAGCCCTATGCCAGCTAGAAAATGCAACAAGCTTGCTTCTGGCTTTTAAAGGTAATCAGGCAGAGTAGTTTCTCTCAGGTCAACCACACAGGATGCACTCCAACTTAAGCTTCAACAGCTACAGGAGGGGAAAATAGGATTGGTCTAGTCCTCCACAAATAGAAATGCATCAACATAGGCACTTTTAAAGAAACTTTTAATTTTAAATAGGGTATTAAACATTAGCCTCCTACAGAAAAACAATGAAAATATGCACCACATGCTTTTGAAAGCTATAATGCATTGCAAGAACTTAAGGAAATCGTTATTACATCTGCTCTTCGTCCACAATTTTAAAATGAGTTATGGATAGTACACCAACACCAGTGAACATTACATTAATATATACACATGGCTCACAGTGCAGTTTGGCATCATTGAGGAAACCTTCACGCATACGTATGTTTGTACAAGACCTTACTAGTACATACTTAAGAGAAGTAGAACAGAAACAACTATGCAAATGTAATTGGCAAAGCAAACCCTAGCATTCAACTGAGCCACCAGGAATACAATATCATGTGAAAGCAAAAGCTCACAAATATATGGTACCAGAATCATGTATGTCAAATCTGTTTTGTCCACATTAAATATTTAAAATATCAATAAAGTGTGCTGCAATGCACTACAGAGATTAAATGTTCTTACACAGCTTTATAATGTTTATATAGTTTTATTTACATTTCTGCTTTGAACAGAATGTAGATTACTTCTAGCAGAGCAAATGTTTGACAACTGACTTTAGTGTTAATTTAATTATATATTTAAAGTTTGTTCCTTTAATTCTGTTCTTCCCAATAGTAATTATGAGATCTATGCATAATAAAATTCTTTAATACAAACTCCAAAAATGACATCATTTTGAGTCTTACATAGAAAAAAATGTCACTGATAACTAAAGTATTATTTGTGGCATGCATGTAAAATTCTAAATACAACAGCCGATTAAAGCTTTAAGATAATAAATATAGAGCAAAAAACTTGCATGTAATATTCTGGTTGTGTATTTAAGACTATACTGAATTAGCAAAACCTGTATGTTCTTTTCATGAAGAATAAAAATTCAGTGCAGGATCAAAGCATGACTGAAGACTGCAATATACAGTAGAACCTCTGGATGCAAACAGGATCCGTTCCGGAGCCCCGTTCGCATCCTGAAGCGAACGCAACCCACGTCTGTGGGTCACGATTCGCTGCTTCGGCGCATGCGTGTGATGTCATTTTGAGCACAAGGGGCAAAACCTGGAAGGAACGCGCTCCGTTACTTCTGGATCACCGCGGAGCACAACCCGAAAACGCTCAACCTGAAGCTACTTCAACCCAAGGTATGAATGCAGAGCCAAGCAAAGTAATTACAGCAACATTACGGTCTGTTTTCCAAAAGCAACCCTTCGAAGTTCTCCTGTGCGGTATTTAAACCTCCCTGGTGAGTCTTCCTGAAAGCAATTTTATTTTGTTTTAACCCACAAAAACACAGAGAAGGAAGATAAACCACATATATTATATACGCCATTGTCAAATGTTTCTTTTAAAGAGTCAACTTTCAGTACCAATAAAAGAAATAAAACTGTGTTCAAAACAAACAAAATAATCTGTATAAATACAGCCAAAGTCACTGCTTTAACTGTTAGTTTTACAAGCAGTAAAATGATAGCAGGCCCCATCCTCCGTGAGCTGGTGTCAGTAGGAAGGTAACTCTGGAGAACAGAGAACAGAAACAGTAGGACAGTAGCTATTTCAAGATCAGCTATAGTAAGAGTTGCAAGAGTTGTACAAATATTGTTTAACTTGGGTCTCTTGTGTGGCATCATAAAGTTTGCAGCAATAAAAATTACAAACTATTTAAACACACTCCAGTGAAACACATAGGACACTAATGGGTTTTGGGGATGCATTAAGAACTGTCTTTACATACTGCAGTGAATAAAGAGATTACAGGACTGCATTATGCCTATTGGGCAAAGATAGGATCACTCTCAAATCCTACACCAACTATAGAAGAATCAAAATAACCACTACAGTAGCAACATCCTTGCTCTGGAAGAGGCTGCTGGGGACAGACAAGAGACAGAGGGAAAAGAGAAGGTAGAACAGGGACACACTGGTAGGGGAACATAAATTTTAAAAGGGATGCTAAGCTCCCTAGGGATTCTTGTCTAGCACCAGCCCTTGATAGTGTTTCACAGGTGTGGGCAATTCTTTTCTGTTAAAAGCAACATTCCCTTAGGAAAATCTGTTGGTGGAGATAGTGGTGGGTGGAGCCAGAGACAGAATTTCTAGTCCTATGCAAGTCTACTCAGAACTAAACCCTACTGGGTTTCATGGGATTACTTTCAAATAAGTACTGTATACAGAAAATAATTTCTTTTAGTACAAACAAACCCATAGGGCCACAGTTCTAGAAAGCAAGTGAAAGTGTGCCACACACAATACAGAAGCCTATGAATTTCTTCTCACACTTTTCCCTGCCAAGCCATACAGTCAGGAAAAAAGTTTTTAAAAACCATTTAGCTAATAAAATACTATTCCTTCCAACTGAATACACTCCAAATGATTTTTCATATGCATTGCTCTCAACCTACATATCTAGCTATCTCTTGCAGTTAGGAGCTCCTTCCTTCTCTCTGGCTGTGGCTTTTTCCATGGCAAAGGTGTTGTTTATAGCTGCTGCAACCCTTTCCTGTTGCTGGCTCCATTTGACAATTTCAACCCATTTGAGCGAATGACTTAGAAAGCTTGATGATTACAAATGTCAGTTGTTGTTATTATTATCTATTAAATTTCTAGGACTTGGTAACTACAAAGGTCAGTTGCTGCCCACCTGCCCATTAAACCATGGTGGCTTCTGACAAGGGAGGCAATCTGGACACTTCCAGACAGTATGTTTGTGCGCTGTGCATGGGACCAAGTGGACTTGGCAAGGAACAATTATAATAGCATTTGTACAACAAGTACCCTATGCTGATGGGTGCTACTAATGTTGGGCATTACGTCTGTGCAATTATGTGATGATGAGTGGTGGTGTTCGAGTTTCCAGTAATACTATGGGCACATTTGTAGATGCATCTATACAATATTTTGATTCTAGAGTAGTTTTGGTGCTTTTGACTTTGCAGCTGGTGGCAATCGGAGACTCTATAGGTCCTTTTGCCACTAAAAAAAAGGTTTTAATTTTAGTATTCAAATATGGTAATTACATCAGGATTGGGGGATATTTATTCCCTGGGGTGTCTCATATGACCTACCTTACATTGTGCCATGATCTTTAAAAACATACTTGGTTACTATGAGGACTGTAAAGGCATTCCATTCCCAAAGACTCTGAGGGCATTCTCTCAAGTGTTGTTTATTATTATTTTTAAATTGCATGGTACAATAATGTGGGTGCCATGGTAAGGACAGGGAGACCCAGCTTTAAACGATGGCTCATCTACAAAGCTTCAAGAAATAATTCTCTCCCACTGAACATGGTGGACAAAATGGGAGAGGGAGAACTATGTATACTGGGGGGCACTGATGGATAGACATATTGGTGCCTGTGGGCACCATGCTGGCAATCCCTGATGCACATCACTCCCAAGCTCCTTGGAAAAAAGGTGGAATGAAAATGTAATTAGTAATTCCTCCACTGCACAGTGGGAATATATGTACCAGAGGCAACAGATAAGCAGGAGCTACCCATGTAACTGTAAAATATAGTCAAGCTTATTCTATATAAGCTTATTCTCTGTAAGGAATACTGCACTGGCTTTGAAAAAAATAATAATTTCAAAGGGTCCATTTATAGTAACCCCTTGTATATAAGAGGGCTACCATGATCAGTTACTATTAGGCAAATAGCCAACATCATAGTGAAATCTACTTCAATAAAATGTACTCCATAAATGCTGTTTCATTTTCTGTGTGTGTCTGGACTGCATGTCAAGTGAATATGCAGTTTGGGTGCCAAAACAAGCAGCCATTAAAATAACTATATTCTGTCTGTCCACTCTACCCTTTTAATGAGTGTCAGAATATATTTCATCTGCATAGTCAATATACATTTTAATGCAGAAATCCCCTTGCCTGCATTAACAATTTGCATTTTTGATGTGTAAATTCCCTACAATGCATTCACAGGGCAAGCATTCATATTTTCAAGATTGCACAAGGAGACACAAAAACACACTAATTTCTGCACCAGAGGTTTAAAGGTTTGTGTTAGAGGTTTAAAAATTGCAACACTAAATATGTGCCTGAACCTGTTAAGCAGATTGGAAAAAAATCTACTGAGACAAATGATCTCAACTCCGCAGCTACCTTCAATCACAACAGACTTAAGCAGATTTAAATGTAATAAAAGGATTACAGGAAGGTAGCCTATCTGATCAGAAGACAGCAACATCAGATTTTAAGTTATGATCTTCAAAAAGCATGTAAAGTTTTAAGTACTTAAATAAAAATAAGAGTTCTTGAGCACAATTTCCAATAGTATTTGAGAAGTCAAGTTCTGACAGGAAAGAAACACTTTCCTTTTTATAGCAAGATTTTGAGATGCATGGCAGTGACCCCTAAAAGCAAAATAAGATGAAAGCAAATATATTAGTGAAAACTATAGGGACAGTCAGAGCAAGAATGTCTGTTAATGGTGATGAAATAGATGGTATGGCAGCAGTGCAACTTGTGTCTTACTGTTACTGAATGCTGTCCCATTACAAGGTAGATAGAACGTATTTCTACAGCATGCATATACAGTTATCCACTTTATTAATAACTGGCCTTTGAAAAATACCCTTGTGGTTATTTCCACAGTTTTTGTTAGGCCTCCTTGGCAAAACAGCAAGTTGCAGACAATTTAACTTTCGAATGAAGATGTCCTCAGTGCCAGCTAGCTTTCACTGCCTATATACTAAAACTCTTTCATTTTTTTCCTTAATAACCAAAGATACCATCAACCAAATCTACACCCACCTCATTACTTTGGGGCTGCATGGATTCTGTGAGGGCAAAGCACTGTAAAACTACCTCGATGATCACACCCTTCTTCTTCTGCAACCCCATTTAGATATGCCAGCTAAGGATAACCCTTCAAGCAGTAGAGGAAGTGGGCTCTCTTCCGCAAAAGCTTATTCTACAATAAATATGCCCGTCTTCTCAAAGTGCCACAAGACTGTCGGGTTTGGGGTTATTGTTTTTTGCTGCAACAGACTAACTCAGCCACTCTCTCTGGAAGTTCTGAAGACACTGGTTTTTCCCCCCTAGTTGCCTCTGCGTGGAAACGGCCAAAAAAAGACAGCAGCAGCAACAGCAACAAAAGAGTACTGTATTGTGGCTGGCACCTTAAAGGGTGTGTTTCGGTGCAAAGTGCTCGTGGTCTAAAGCCCCACTTTATCCGGCAGCCTTCCAAGGCGCCACGAGAATCCTTTTTGTTCTCGCCCGAGCACAGCTAACACCCTCTGGAATGTGCAGGGCAAAAGGAGGCGGCGGCGGAGCTGCACGTTGACCCTGGCATGTCCCGCCATCCTCGGCTTGTTTACGCGGAGATCAGCCCCGTTGATATTAATAGGGCTCCCTCTCGAGTCATTAAAGGAGCGGATTGCAGGCAGAGCTCCGAGGACAGCCCTGGAGGCGCGAAGAGCCAACTATCCCCAGCCGACCCGCCCCCCCCCTTGACCGCAGCCAGCGGGCGTCGCGCCCCGCCACGGGACGGATACCCGTCGCCTCCCACAGTCCCGAGCAAGATCGAGGGGCGCCAGATGCCAAGCGGCCTCCCCCTCGTTTCTCACAGCGACCCGCCGCTGCCGCCCACTCCGTTGCCGGCGCTTCCCCCGTTGTCCCCTCAGGTCGAGACCAGAGGGCGGCGGCCAGCTCCCTCGCGCCCCTGCCTGCCTTTCCCAAAAACAGAAAGGGGGAAGGAGAGGAGACGGAGAGGAGACGAAGAGGGCGGGCGGGCGGGCGGGGTCTGCCTCGAGAAGGAGGGGGGAGTGGTTCAAACCTGCGACCTCGCGAGGAGAAAGGAAGCCCCCCGCACTCCATGCCGACGAGCCGTTAACTGAACTGCCCGCTCCTGCCAACCGTTCCAACGCTCCTTTTCCAACGGAAAAAGAACCAGTCGACGTTCAAATTCTTTTCTTTCCTCTTTTCGCGGCGGGGGCGGGGGACGAGGGTAAGAAAGGAAGGAAAGAAAGAGGGGAAACCAAAAGTTCCCTCAGCGCAAGCGAGCGCCCGCTGCCCAGGCTCACCCGTCGTCCACCCTCCAGCGCCTCTCCGACGCCGCTCACCCCTCGCGGGAGCGATGCCCCGCTTCGCCGCTCAAAACGCTACTCGCTTAGGAGGACCATCAAAAGTGCAGGAAGGAGAAAGAAAGACTGACTGACTAGCTGGCTGCCTTGACGCGGAGGGGGGCACGGAGCACGGCAGATGCCCGCACCGCCCAGCGAATCCGATTGCTGAGTGGCTCGACAAGCAAAACCAATCGCGACGCCGCAGCCATCTACGACGCCAATAGACGCTCTCCGGGAGGGCGGGGAATGCAACAAGTCCCGCCTTTTTATTCCTTTCCCAAAGGGGTGGCGCAACCCCGCGCCGAAGAGAGCTGAGGTGTGAGATGACAGGCGCGCGGTCCGAGATAAAGCTCGAGGGGCGGGATTTCGTTGGTGCCGTCATCGACTGATTGACAATAAAGACTACAATCGAGTTCCTCGGAGGTCAGAGGAGGTGAAGGTCTCCGTCCTTTCGATCGCCTGCTGCTTTGTGCCCGCCGGTCGGGACGCCTATGCAAGTGACGAATCTCATCCGTCCCCTGTCCGCAGCCCCACGTTTCACAGAATAATGAGGCTCAGCTCGGATTACTGGAATACATCGGATAATTCCAGGGACCCAGCCACAGAAACAATGCCCCCACTTTATACAAATTCGGCACCGCCTAACTCCACGACATGTAGTTTACCTCTCAGAGAGAGCAATTTGCCAGCCCAGCCACCATTCGATGGGCAAAGAAATGAGCTTTCAACCCCAGTGATCACTACAGCACACTTTCCCAAACAGGTAGCAAAAGGGGTAAATACAATTTCAGATTTCAACATACAGCTATTTGGTAAAGAAGCAGTGTCACCCCAAAGATACAGGCATGCCTGTAGACTCTTAATCTCAGGGTTGTGGGTTTGAGCTCCACATTTGGTCAAACGATTCCTGCAATGCAGGAGAGCAGAGTAGATGGCCTTCATGGTCCCTTCCATCTCTACAATTCTATGATTCTGTGAAGACATGTTGTCTGAAATGTGTGGGAAAGGCAATCCCCTAGCCTTTCCCAATGTAAATTATATTTCTCAAAGGCTTGTTCTTTCACTTCTGAAATGCAAGAGCTCAGCACGATCACATCTAGTTATGGACTGCACACACCATCCTCATACAATTGTTTTATAACTGCATGCAGATTTAGGGTTGTTGGCACTTTGATAACAAAAGATATATTGTTCACTCATTCCATTTCAGCTTGATGGTATGTGGGTATCTAGCACATATGACTTGCTCAACATCTGAAACTGTTAAGGTTCAAGAAGACTCGGAATACACTGCATGTCATTTTAACCATGGCAGCAACTCTCTAGGAAAAATCTGAAGACAAATCATTGAAGGAAAGAGACTGATCAGAGATTTCTTAAATTGACCCTTACTGGTCAATTACAAGCAATCCATTTGTGTTTCTAACACACCCTTCTTCCCAAATATTTTGGGGTGGGACACAATGAAACACACACATATATTTTTGTGTGTGTATATATGTATGTATATTTTGCCACAATACAAATGCACACAGGGCAGAAATTATAGAAACTAGGATAGCAAATGACAAATCCACAGAAAACCAAATACAGAGTGCCTGGGTTAAGAGTTATGTTTCAGGCTGCTGGGGGAAGCCTAACAGTATAGATGTAAAACCAGTTGGAATAGGGTGGTATTCTACAATTGGGGTACCATGGCAGAGAAGACCCTTTCACTGGTCACTGCACAACAGATGCCATTCCCATATGGAGCCACTAACAAGCCTTCCTCATTATCTTAACTCAAGAGGCTGGTTGGTATGGAAGAAGGTCTCAAAGTATCTATAGATGCAAGCTATTTCTAGCTTTATAAGCCATCACAAACACCTAGTGGAAAACTGGCAGCCAATGCAGCACTTTCAGGACTGTCTTCATAATTGAATCCACTCAGTAACCGAGTAGCTGCATTCTGCACAAGTTGTGGCCCCTGGACCCTCTTTGCCATAATATTCATAGTAATCGAACTGTCTCATTAATCAATTCAGATTACCAGAATGTCAATCACTGCAGGGAAATTATCCCTGCCCAGGAACAGCTGTAGATGATCAACTGGTAGCTGGTAGAAGATGTTCCTAGCCACCAAAGCCACCTGGACCTTCAGTGGCAATGACGGATCAAGGCAAACCTCCAAGAAGACACACAAGTCATGCAGTAGTTACAATGCCGCATCAGGGCTGCAGAAGCCCAGGTTCAAATTCACACTCAGCCATCAAGCTTGCTGGTGACCTTGTGCCTGTCACCATCCCTCAGCCTTACCCTAACCCAAAGGGTTTGTGTGAGGACAAACTGGAGAGGGGATTATCATATGCATAAGAACCTAAGAAGAACCCTATTGGGTCAGCCTGTCTAGTCCTCCTGTTATCATGGAGGCAAACCAGATCCCTGCTGAAAGCCCACAAGGACATGAACACAGGACGTTCCACTGTTCTTCGGCAATACTTGTTCTTCTATATGCTTGGCAATTTATATATTTAATCATGGTTCCAACCAGTTTCCCCAGAACACTTGTTAATGTAAGTAGCCTGTGATTTCCTGAATTCCCACCCCTCTCCCAGATCTCTTTTGAAGAATTTGTGTTACATTGACCACTTTCTAATATTCAAGTATGGATGTCCATCTCAGGAACAAGTTATATATATCTTGGTTAAAAAGGTAAAGGTACCCCTGCCCGTACGGCCCAGTCGTGTCCGACTCTAGGGTTGTGCGCCCATCTCACTTAAGAGGCCGGGGGCCAGCTCTGTCCGGAGACACGTCCGGGTCACGTGGCCAGCGTGACGAAGCTGCTCTGGCAAGCCAGCACCAGCGCAGCACACGGAGACGCCGTTTACCTTCCCACTATAAAGCAGTACCTATTTATCTACTTGCACTTAAGGGTGCTTTCGAACTGCTAGGTGGGCAGGAGCTGGGACCGAAAGACGGGAGCTCACCCCGCCGCGGGGATTCGAACCGCCGACCATGCGATCGGCAAGCCCTAGGCACTGAGGTTTTACCCACAGCGCCACCCGTGTCACCATATATTGGTTAGAAGATTTTACATCTGCGTTATTTAAGAACTGTTGGGTAGATACCATCTAGAACTGGTGAATTGTTAGTTTTGAGTTATCAATAAGGCATCTCTCATCACCACTATTTGCCTAAGTCTTTCAGATTTCCTTCCAGATACATCAGTTCAGGCACAGGCTTCTGCCCTGTTTTCCACAATGAAAACAAATGCAAATAATTCCATTTCTCTGCAATCTCCTTTTCTTCCTTTAGCACACTTTTAATTCTACTGCCATCCAACTGCCTCTGCTGCTGGGCTCCTACTAATACAGTGGTACCTCGGGTTAAGTACTTAATTCGTTCCGGAGAACCGTTCTTAACCTGAAACTGATCTTAACCTGAAGCACCACTTTAGCTAATGGGGCCGGAGCACCATTTCTGTTCTCATCCTGAAGCAAAGTTCTTAACCCGAGGTACTATTTCTGGGTTAGCGGAGTCTGTAACCTGAAGCGTATGTAACCTGAAGCGTATGTAACCCGAGGTACCACTGTAATATATTTAAAGGATTGTTATTGTTGGTCGTAATGTTTTCATCCATATGTTCTCTGAGCCCTTTTTTGAATTCCTTATTATCTGCTTGCCTTCCCTTGCCAAAGTTGTGTTCCTTTTCGTTCTCATTTGGGATCACTTTAAAAGGTGTTCTGCCAACTTTTTGATTTTAAGAGCCAACGGTTTCCACTCTATGCTTCCTTGAGTTCCTTGGAAGAAAGGTAAGATATAAATGCAATAAAATAAACAGCAACTAACATGCACATGTCAGGAAGCCGGTAATTGGACAGGCATTTGGCTCCCATAATATATGCAAAGTGCCTTAAGAGAAAGCAAGAGGAGGAAGTTCAGTTGGCAGTACTAATTCTTATTCCAGGTTTGGGACCAGACCAATGGTAAATGGACAGAAGAGA